GGTGTGCACCAACCCCTCTCGCTCTCCAGGCTTCAGGCGGCTATCCGCAAGTCTTTGGAGCACAGCGGGAACTCCTGCTGCGCTCCGAAGGCTTGCGGATAGCTGCCTGAAGCCCCCAGAGTACAGTGGGAGTTCACGCTGCACTCCGGGGGCTTCAGGCGGCTTCAGCGAAAGCAACGCGAAGCCTCCGGAGCGCGGGGGGAGCTCTCCCTCTGCGCTTAGGAGGCTTCGCGTTGCTATCGCTGAAGCCAAGGAGCCTGCATTCGCTCCATAAGACGCACACACATTTCCCCTTAATTTTTGAAGGGGGAAAAGTGTGTCTTATAGAGCGAAAAATGCGGTAATTCCTAAAAGGTTTCTTCAGCTATGTTTGAAGCAAGAGGAAGGACAAACAGTAGGTCCTCCGTGTGGAGAAGATGGATAAATGCTATTGGGTGACAGAGAGAAGGAAGAACTGCTCCACTTCTGCTTTGCCTGTGTCTTCACCCAAAACAAAAGCAGTGTTCAACCTGGCGATAACAGAATAAATGATGCACAGAGGGAGCTGCAGCCCAAGAGGCAGTGAGGGAACACCTAGCTACTTTAAATGAATTCATATCTCCAGAGCCTCATGAGCTGCACCCAAGGAGATATTTACTTTAAGTAGGTCCTGCTGATATCAATGGCACTTTCTTATGAGTAAACAGGCTTTGGAGCAAGGTCAAAATATGCACACAATACACTGCACTGTTTCCACAAAAAAACAACATAGCACCTCAAACCCAGCTGAAGCAACATGAACGTTATGGCTGCCATACTTCAGCACACATAGCTGTATATTTGAATGATATGTCTGTCTCATTGAAACGGAATAATCGGAATAAGTGCAATTGACAACACTGGTGCGTAAAGTAAACTGCAGAAGTTTCTCATGCACTGCTACACACCCGTAGATGAAATCTACTGCTTGCTTTTCCCCAGAAGTAACATCACTACAGAGCAGACAAGTTCAAGGTAAAAATCTCACCTGGCTTGTGGTTTCACACTGCAGACATAAAACATGATTATTTCTTCTTGCAGTTGGGCCAGCCTAGGCATAACATAGAAAATCTGATCACAGGTCAGTTAATGGCTTTGATCTTCTTTTTTCTTTTTTGGACTTAAAGGCAAACTGAATCAGAGTCATGGCATTGGGGAGAAGTGATTCAGCCTTTCATCCCAATCTTTCCCCCCAATTTAAATCGTCCTCTCCCCCCAATCTGCTATTAGCCACTTGGAGGGGGCAGAGAAGTATAAAATATATATCAGCTTCCCTGCTTCCCATATGTATGTGTGTATAAATCCCCAAAATGGCTAAGCTTAACTTTTGATTCTGCTAGAACATATACTGCCTACTGTATACATCAGAGGTGGTGATGTTTCTTGGGCAGAGAGGACTACATGTCAAGGTAGGTGTGGCTAAATATAGGAGGTTTTTTTTTCGTTTTTTGCAAAACCTAGGAAAAACCTCAACTTGTGTTGCCATACATCCTGATTTTCCTGGACATTTCAGCGATTTCCACCTGGACACTGCTTCTGATGGCCAATTGCCAGCTATGTTCCAGACGTATGGCAACCCCACTAAATACAAGTGGGCAGGGTCAGAGTGAAAATATGGTTGTGACGCATTGTCAAGGACAAATGTGGGGGGCGTTGCTGGAGACACAAAAATCTTTTGGCATGACAGAGGGCTACATATGGGAGCAGTCAGTAAAAAGAAATATTATTTTCAATTAAAAATTACCTTATTTATTTGATAAATAAGGTTTCACCTAATTTTGAATCTATTTTTCTCCACTGCCTTGTGTTGTTTTTACATGACAGGTGGTACAGAAATAGTTTTAACAAATAAATGATGTTTTGCATTACCCTTTGTATTAACTTTAAAAGTGTTCAGTGGGTATATTTTTCTGAGGACAAACTTGTGAAGCCTATCAACTATGTGATTGACCATCTTCCTGCTGTTGTTTTAGAATTTCTATCAGGAGACGCCCCTCCATTTGGTTAGCCATTGATTTGCCATACAGATCTGATGATTATATTGTTATAAAAGTTGGGTGTCTCCCCCTCTCTCTGCCTAGCAGTGGCAAGAGCCCATGGGGTTCCAGGCACTCACCCAGGATTTGTGTTCCTTTGGAGCAGGCATAGGCAAACTCAGCCCTCCAGATGTTTTGGGACTACAACTCCCAAATGACCACTGGTCCTGTTGGCTAGAGATGATGGGAGTTGTAGTCCCAAAACATCTGGAGGGCCGTGTTTGCCTATGCCTGCTTTGGAGAATTGAGACATGACAGAGACTGCCGTAGCTTTAAGAAATATAATTTATTCATTTATTTACAGCTTCAGTCTGTATGGAGGGAGTCCAGATCTTACAGGACAGTCTTTTCAAGAGGGGCTTGTACTCCACAGCAGTGTAGCCCTGGAATCCAAGTCATCTCCCCCAGCCAGCAAGCAGCCATCCTGCCCAAGATGGATCCCAGTCTTTCTTCCTTGTTCTTCTTACCAGAACACCTTGCTAAAATACTCTTTGTGGCACCTCACACCTAGTTACCCTGGCAAGCTTCCAACCCCCCAGACTCTGTTCATACCTTAGGGCAAGGGGGAAGGACAGTTCTCCTGCACTGCCAATGGTTCTCAATGGTGCCATATTGTTTCTTAATGGTCCTAGGTTGGCCAGGTCATTTTGCATAGGCTAGCTCAGGAATTCCTCTGCAGCTGGTATTTATCCCTTCTCACCCCAAATATCTTGCCATTTATTAATTTCTAGGGTTTAGGGGGGTTCCCCCAAAAAACTAATATAAACGTGTGTACATGAGTATCTGCATTTCTGTTGCACTGATAAGATGAAAAAATCTGCATGGTTAGCAAAAATATAATGTGAACCCTTCACTTGTATGGAGCTGCATTTCTGCAACTCTTAAAGGTGAAGCAGCCCTCCAATTAAAAACCTTACTTGGGTTTCAATAGGCAATTTTTACTTCATAGGTAGAGGAAACAATAGAATCAAATGGCAATGTGCTTCTGTAGCAAGTGATCAAGTACTGTTCTTATTGTATTATCTCATTTTCTTTTTTATGCTGAACCAAAACATATGTGAGATGCAGTGATCAGGTCATTTGCTTTTTGCAGAAAGAGCAATGCCTTGGCCCTCTAATGCAATCAAGAGCTTCTCACACACATTTCTCTGATCCTTTCAAGCTTGCAAATGGCTTAAGCAAAAGGAAAAAAGGATTTTGAAGTCTGGAGTCATTAGTACAAGATTCCAATTGTAAATGATTACCAACAGGAGGAAAGGGTTGTTTTTTTTAAAAGGCTTTTAAAGTGTAAATTAAGGCAGCCACTAGTAGTGGAAATGCCACCTGGAGACATTTGTGTGTTTAAAATTAATGGTAACATGTAGACCTGAAACTGGAAGACCAAAGGATTAACACACTAATAAAGAGATTGTAGTAATGATGATATATAGAATAGACAAATGAAAATAAGAAGGCAAACTGTAAAAACAAGGCAAAACAAAAAATGGTAGGACATGCAAAAGTAATTCCATAGACACACTGGAATGTTGGCTCAATGTAGTAAATGAGATGAAGGATCACTTCATTAATCCCAAACTAGGCCCTGCAGCAAGTCAATGACAAACCATGGCTATGTGTAGGCACTGGAAACTACAGAACACTTAGGAGACAGTGCCTTTGTATTGGCAACACCATCCTAGTGCGTGTCCTATTCTCACAGGGCACCAGAGTGAACAGAGGATTTGCCAAGAACAACAACAAGGGGACAGCAAGGGGCAGGTCCCAACAAGGGAGGGGAGGTGGAATTGAGACTGCAAGAGAGACTCAGCTGGCTGGGGACTGGAGATCTGGATCCCAGGAAGGACCAAATGGGCTGTCAAAAAAGAGCCCCAACCCTATGACACCTGACACCCTAGTCCAATGCTTTCAACCAATACGGAAGCTAGACTGGTGACTGGCAGCGGCCGCTGAGACCACATAACACCAGTCTTGAAAGACCTACACTGGCTCCCAGTACGTTTCCAAGCACAATTCAAAGTGTTGGTGCTGACCTTTAAAGCCCTAAATGGCCTCGGTCCAGTATACCTGAGGGAGCATCTCCACCTCCATCATCATCTTGCGCCGAGGGCCTTCTGGCGGTTCCCTCACTGTGAGAAGTCAAGTTACAGGGAACCAGGCAGAGGGCCTTCTTGGTAGTGGCACCTGCCCTGTGGAACGCCCTCCCACCAGATGTCAAAGAGAAAAATAACTACCAAACTTTTAGAAGACATCTGAAGGCAGCCCTGTTTAGGGAAGCTTTTAATGTTTCATAGGTTATTGTATTTTAGTGTTTTGTTGGAAGCCGCCCAGAGTGGCTGGGGAAACCCTGCCAGATGGACGGGGTATAAATAATAAATTATTATTACTACTACTACTACTACTACTACTACTACCATGGAACCACCTCTGATGCTGCCTCCTATCACCAAGGGGCTTTCCCCTTCAAGGAAGGTTGCAGAGAGCAAGTCTGAAGAGCCTTTGATTTCAGGGATAGGGAACATGTCACTTTCTGGATGTTGTTGGACTCAGCCCCAGCCAGTATGGCCAACAATCAGTGTTGCTGGGGGTTGTGGTCCAGCAAGATCTGTGAAATCACAGCTGCCCCATCCCCGCTTTAAGTTGAGATGCCAACGATTGTACCAGCAGCAACACAATACGTCTGATTTTAACACAGAGCTCTGGATAATCGTGTTCATCTGAATACATAGTGAATTCAAGGTGCCAACTGCCATTAGGGCTCCCAATGTGACAATTGCTAATTGTCATGAAGGAGTCTCTTTTGCAACTTCAGTTATCCAAGGTTTCCTCGCTTATGCACTCAAAAGCCCCCACCCAACTCAGCAGCACTCTCAGTTGCACTTTGTAAATCAATGTCTGTTTAGGACGCAGCAAATGAATTGCACTTGCTGCTGTGTGTCATATGGTTTGAACTGCAATAGCTCATGCATTACAGCATGAGACTCTTAATTTCAAGGTCATGGGTTCAAGCCCCAGGTTGAGTGAAAGATTCCTGCATTGCAGGTGGTTGGACTAGACAGTCCTCGTTGTTCCTTCCAACTCTACAATTCTATGATTCTGTGATAAAGTCTATGGAAAGATATGGAACACTCCTCAGCAGTGCTTAAAGAATTGATGATCAGAGTACTGAATCTTGAAACTAACACTGATACAGGTACAGATACAATATGGCATTAACGCCAAGTCCCTAGATTTAAAATGTGACACTTCTGAGCGTCATAGTCTTCTTTAGAAGAAGCATATCACTAAACAGAATGATTGCATCTTGTCTGTTACTAAAACCCAGTGAAGTACAATATGTCATTTTGCCTTTAACAGTCTTAGCATTCCAAGTGTTACCCCTGAGAAGGATGCAATGAGGGCATGGGAAGAGAAAGGAAGATTCTAGGACCTGGAACCTAAGTTTATAAAGCTATCTGAGAAATATTTACAAGCTAATATCCTTTTGTTAATCATGCTTATTGTTTTCCAACTGTGTATTTAAAAGTAATCCAGGTCACCTGCATTTGGCGTTCTGTTAATAATTCTGCTCTTAATTATTACAAAATTTATTTCTCAATAAATTACATGCTGATGGATTTTCAAGTAATAAGTAGGGCTTCTAAATTCACTGGGGGCTTCGCATATAAAACAGCTGGAAAACGGACTAAACAGAGAACAGCGTAAACATACCACAGGGCCCTGAATGTGAGAAAGAGGACATCTGAGAATGTTCCTGTAATAAATATGATGCTAACAGAGAATAATGAGTTTAAGGAAGATTGTTCAAGAGGGTCTGCTTCCATACTAACTGTAAAACAACACACATTTCTAGTTGTAATGAAACCAGACATTGTTTGCAGCTTTAGCAACATATTTATACCAAGTTTAAATTCAGTAATATTCAGTAGTGAGTTTAAATTCTATCTTTTTCTGTTCCAGTTATGGTTCATTTACTGTTGTGCCCTGGAGATGTTTGTCTTCTAATTTTTGCCATATTTGATAAAGAGATCACATTGTTTTGAATTGCCTTTTATTGCATTTCCATCTGATTTGCTTCTTCCAGTATTTGGTAGTGCATATTTAAATAAAAAAGGAAAAGAAAATCCCTGAAGGGCTACCAGATGGTGCAACTACTGTCAAGCCAGTTTATACTTAAAGCGTGCAGCAAAGTTTTAAATTAGCATTTTCAAAGAGGAACAAACATTCTACCACTCTGTGTATGTGTGCATGTGTGTGTGCATGTGCACGGGCAATTCAGATATACACACACATGTGCATGTAATGAATGTACATTGTTGCTGTGTGTGCATTGTTTGTTTGCAAACTGGTAACAATGTTGTGTAACCCTTTAAGTTTCACACTTGAAAACTCCCTTACATTTCCTGATCCACCATTCATATATCCTTCATGGGCAGCCTGCTGTTCTCAAGCAGCTCAGTTTGGCTGGATGTCTGCACATGCCCTGAGATGATAGGTCTGGATTTCCTCTGAGCCAAGATTGCATGAATAATCAGAGGAAGCTATGTATCATATATTCAGGGAAAGTCCCTGAAGTTCCTGCCAACCCTCACAGCATCCCACCATATTGGTGGTTGTATAGGGGGATTTCCCTACAGTGACCTAAAACTTAGACCTTCACATGGGCCATGACATTTAATGCATGCCTAATTAATCTCCCAGAACAAATGCAAAAATCTAATGCAGGTGACACCTCTCATCCAGCTATTATCCCTTGAACGTAATGAATTTCCTCTAGTAAGCATGTTTTGTCCCTATTAATCATCAATCATTTTATTTGTATGCCACCTTTCCAAAGTTAAAACCATGCCCAAGTCAGCTTACAACATATTTTAAAAATTGCAAAACTACAAACATAACAAAAGTAGTAATAAACAAGAAATAAACCATCGAATTGTACACAACCAAACCACATAAATCAGAAGATCCAAAAGAAAGATCCAAAAAATTAACATAAACAACAGCAGGTCTTCCAGGACTCACAGCCAAGATTGGTTGTTGTTTTTTGCTAAGACATCCATCACCCTTAGACATTCTGCTGCAGTTCTGCAACAAGAAAACTTACGTAAGTGCTATGACAAATGACAGTTCTCAATCCATCTTCTGTTGTGTGGTATTTACCCACCCAGCATTGCCCTTAACAAAATCACCTTCTATATCAAAGTCCATGCCCATGAGGAGGGCCCTTCCCTATCTATAACTGGAAGCCAGCATTTCTGACATTGGCTGCTCCACCAGAGGCATGTGAACTACCCAACGTGTTGTTGGAAGCATCAAAGGCCATTTAGCTTTCTTGGAATATGCTCGTCTATTCTGTCAGTATAAACAGCCCAAATTAACTCTCCTCTCCCCACAGGGATTTCTAACTGCCACATTGGGATGTACAACTAATTTTTCCCCAACCAACTGGGACAACAGTAATAAGTGCTGTACATTTATGTATAACAACAGATGTTCTCAGTCAAAATATGATTTTTAATAGTCATTTGGGACAGTTTCATGTGCATCAGTTTGAGTTTCAGTCCACCCCATCCCAGAGGAACAGGGTAATATATTAAAATCACAAAATACGTAGCACTTACTATATGGCTTAGGTCTAAGTTACCTTCCTCTCCCAATTCCATCATGCCTGCTCCTTAAGAGACCTTATCTAAATTCTAGTTAGGCTGAGAGCGACAAGAGAGGGTCACATCCATAATACAGACAACATTGCTCCATATGTTTGCAGGGAGATGAGATGATATTGGCTATTTAATTATCTTTTGGTCTCATTTGTTTTTGGGGAGGTAAGATGACACCATGTCAAAACATGTGTTATCCCACACTTTACAGTGAATTGCCACCATCCTCTCCTTATCACAAAAAGTCTGAGATTTTGTGGATGTGGGTTTCTTGCACAAGACCTCTTAATAATCTATAATTGTGCAATATGAAATTCCCAGCATGGAACTGGATTCCACCTGAAAATAGCAAATGCTACCAACTCAGATACATCCTAAGTAATTTAAGCCAATCCCCACCCCATGAATTTCAAATTCTCACCCCGCACACTAATCTTCAGAGGAGATGCCTGGAAGAAGCGGACCATTTGGATCCCTTCCAGTCGGGATTCAGGCCTCATCACGGGACTGAAACTGCCTTGGTCGCACTGGTTGATGATCTCCGGCGGGCTAGGGACAAAGGTGAGAGCTGTTTCCTAGTTCTGCTGGATCTCTCAGCGGCCTTTGATACCATCAACCATAACATCCTTCTGGACCGCCTTGAGGGGCTGGGAGCTGGGGGCACTGTCATACAGTGGTTCCGCTCCTTCCTCCTGGGCTGTGTTCAGAAAGTGGTGGGGGGGGATGAGTGTTCAGACCCCTGGGCTCTCACTTGTGGGGTGCCTAAGGGTTCTGTCCTCTTCCCCATGCTTTTCAACATCTACATGCAGCCGCTGGGAGAGATCATCAGGGGGTTTGGGCTGGGTGTTCATCAGTATGCGGATGATACCCAGCTCTACCTCTCTTTCAAATCAGAACCAGTGAAGGCGGTGATGGTCCTGTGTGAGTGTCTGGAGGCGGTTGGAGGATGGATGGCGGCAAACAGATTGAGATTGAATCCTGACAAGACAGAAGTACTGTTTCTGGGGGACAGGAGGCGGGCAGGTGTGGAGGATTCCCTGGTCCTGAATGGGGTAACTGTGCCCCTGAAGGACCAGGTGTGCAGCCTGGGAGTCATTTTGGACTCACAGTTGTCCATGGAGGCACAGGTTAAATCCGTGTCCAGGGCAGCTGTGTACCAGCTCCATCTGGTACGTAGGCTGAGACCCTATCTGCCCGCGGACTGCCTCGCCAGAGTGGTGCATGCTCTGGTTATCTCCCGCTTGGACTACTGCAATGCGCTCTACGTGGGGCTACCTTTGAAGGTGACCCGGAAACTACAACTTTTTTTTTTCCTTTTTTTATAAGATATTTATTAAAGTTTCAACATAATACAAAAATAAGCGAAAAAAGAAAGAAAGAAAGAGGGAAAAAATAGAAAATGAAAATACAAAATAAAAACAGTTAAAAAAACAGATTAGTCTTTCCATATCTTAACTTTCCTTTGCTTGTTTCCCCAACCTCCTCGCACCTCCCTTTTTTGTATTCCAGTTCGAATTAGTTAATTCAGCAAATCCTTTCCCTCTTTGATTCTATCTTAATCTTTTATCTTAATATATTGTAACTTTATATTATCACCTGTTAAGAATCCACTTTTACATATTCCTTTATAACATTGCTGCTAGAAACCATTTAACTTCAATCCAACATCATTCTAACATTCATTAATTTTGCAGTATTTCTGTAGATAGTCTTTAAATTTCTTCCAATCTTCTTCCACCAACTCTTCTCCCTGGTCTCAGATTCTGCCAGTCATTTCCGCCAGTTCCATATAGTCCATCACCTTCATCTGCCATTCTTCCAGAGTGGGTAAATCTTGTGTCTTCCAGTACTTTGCAATAAGAATTCTTGCTGCTGTTGTGGCATACATAAAGAAAGTTCTGTCCTTCTTTGGCACCATTTGGCCGACTATGCCCAGGAGAAACTACAACTAATCCAGAATGCAGCAGCCAGACTGGTGACTGGGAGCGGCCGCCAAGACCATATAACACCGGTCTTGAAAGACCTACATTGGCTCCCAGTACGTTTCCGAGCACAATTCAAAGTGTTGGTGCTGACCTTTAAAGCCCTAAACGGCCTTGGCCCAGTATACCTGAAGGAGCGTCTCCACCTCCATCATTCTGCCCGGACACTGAGGTCCAGCACCGAGGGCCTTCAAGCCAAGTTACAGGGAACCAGGCAGAGGGCCTTCTCGGTGGTGGCACCCTCCCTGTGGAACGCCCTCCCATGTCAAAGAGAACAACTACCAGACTTTTAGAAGACATCTGAAGGCAGCCCTGTTTAGGGAAGCTTTTAATGTTTGATGTATTTTAATATTCTTTTGGAAGCTGCCCAGAGTGGCTGGGG